CTTGGGGAACATCGGCATTTATAGGCATTATATCAGAAGATACCATCGACCACAACATGCAGTGACCTGCCTTCCAAAAAGCTCCCCAGCCAATGGCAAAATTTCCTCGGAAGACCATACGGTGGAAGTTTGCTGGGGAGACCTTTGTGCCACACCTGATGGAAAGCCTTGGAGATGTCCCAATGTTACAATTCTGGACTCATGTTTTTCGAGAGTCGAGTTCCAAACATTACTGACGTCCGCCAGTATATCCCTTGTTGATCCTTTAGAACGAAACCCGCACTGCTTGTCAGCGATGAGCTTATTGGCTTCAAGGTATTTGACTAGTTTCAAGTTGACTGCCTTTTCTATTACTTTCGAAATTACGGATATAAGTGAGATGGGAAGATAATTCCTAGGAAGAGTTTTCTTGCCCTTGTTCGGGATGGGCTGCATTCTGGCACATTTTCAGATAGAAGAATTTTCGCTATAGTTTCAGGTCTAAATACAACGTTGTCCATCTAAGAACCAATGTGTGGCAGTACCTGTGGCGCTCTGACATTGACATTGTACGCCATCGTGGAATTGGATGCAAATTATTTGGCAAAGAGATCTGATTTTTCCTTTGACGATACCACAATGGAATTATTGTGCTTAAGAACTGCGGCGAAGGACATATAAGTAGAAACTGTGGGCGACGTTGTCGTTTAGAAGAACGCGGAACTCCACGAACTGTGATTTAGGATCCAGGGAATATAATATAAATACTAGTGTAGTATAACATACCCGGGTTCGTTCAATAAGATTGAACGATGAGAATTTTTATTACCTTCTCAATTTTACTTACTGGACATGCGCCCGACATAGCAAATATTTGGAAAATTTAAGGGAAGTTGTGATATGTAAAAGAAATGAAAAATTTTTGAAACGTATACTTTATTATTAAAGTAAATAGTACCGTTCTCATCCTGGAACTAACGAGGGGAAAGAGAACGACAGAGAAACCCTCGATCTAACATTCCTCAAAAATCGAAACATACTGTGTCCTTTTAATAATAAGTGTGAGTCCTTAATTCAATAATTTCAGTCAATGAAAGTTTAAATTAGGTACCGCCCCTGTTCTTGTGCTAAAATTGCCCCTGTTCTTGTGCTAAAATTTCAATTACACACACTACATTCAATCAACACTACCTATATTCAATACTGAAGAGTTTTTTTGGTTAGTTAGCCAGTTTCCCAGCAGGTACTGAGGTCCCATACGGGCAGCTACTCAGCTATAGTTGTTTTTGAGCCAATACCTCTAGATTGATTATTTCAATTTGCTAGGATATCCTCTCGTCAGGGTAGGAAATGTTAGTAAATTCAACAAGGCCCTAATGCACGCTCTAAATCCAAAAATCAAAATACCAGCACAAAAAGACAGCACATAATTTATCTAGGTTTTAATTTACTCTTTATCTGTGTTGTTTACAGACACGCGGCACGCGTCTAAGGGACCAGTGCCAGCTTGTTCTCTAGTCTCTCTAATGCATAAGCTTCTCTTCTCTACCTCCCGTTCGGTTCGGTACCCTTTCAGTACACTTCACGGCGCATACAAGGTTGCAACATTTATTTTTGATCAGTGAACGCTTTTTTTTTTTAAGTTAAGATTTGAAGAAATAACATTTTAAATAGGTGGTTTTCCTCACTAGAAAATATGGACGACGTACCAGTTCAAAAGAACACGACATATATCTTCGGATCCATATATCAGGGAAACGCCACCTCGCTGAGGCCGAACGTTGTCCCTCTCTCTCTATATGTTTTAGAAACTAGGTAAAGTATGGTAACTTGTAACTTGAATATTTCAAAATGACTCACATTGATGGCTGTTTTCGATTCGCTTTGGTCTGTCTTCAAGGCCAACGAAATTGGAACCAACCGTTTTCGATTGCAAACCGGTGACGTACATCGCTTGGTCCGTCTAAATTCGAAGCAGCTTCGCGAGTTGATTCGAATTTTGGTTTCAATTTCGGTTTGCTTTTATAACCTTAAAACATAGCGCCTTTTTTGACAGGCCAAATTCAAAAGCTGTCAACCAACTTCTGTCATTACCGAACCAACCTAGGCCGAACCTGGGTTCCGAATCGAAAACGGCCATGAAAGGCTCACTTTTTCAATTCATTCATAAAAATATACTGAAGTAGTGCAGCTTTTCCGTTGTGCATACAAAAAATATACTTAGGAGGATGCTTTTATTCATGACCTGTCTACATTAAAACCTAAGGTCATTAGAAAATGTATACAAAATATTTCATATCAAAACAAAAAATCGATTCTGGTGTTATCCTGAAGACTCGTCTCGCGGAAAAAAAATCATCATCAAAATTTCCATCATTCCTTGCTCAAATATTTTTCCACGCTGTTTACCGCGCGGATATTTTGTCTGCGAACTAAAAAACCTTTTCAATCTTGCCAACTTCCGAATGACAATCAGAAGGGATCTCCATTCTATTCTCCATTACGACGTCGTCTTTTCGCTAGTGACAACTTGCGACGGCTTAATATTCAATAGACCTAGATTTATATCCATCGCAAGTGTAAAAAGGTCAAAGAGGGATTTTAGTTTGGCTGATTTGGATTTTACTTTTTATCAATTAGAAAGACTAAAGGAATATTATATAGATAAAATTCCTAAAATCGCGTTGCTTAAGAAAATATTTATTTTATAAATAGGTACTTAAGTAATAAATTATTTCGAGATTTTTTGTATACTGAAATTCAGAAGACACAAACACTTTTAGGTCTCATAAACAAACTAGTTTCAAGCAGTGCTCAAGAATAAATTTCCATCCAAAATTCCATTTGTTCAAAATCGAACGCGTAATATCGGGGTCTTTCCCGAGTTGATTTACGGACATATTTTCGTAAAAGAACGATAAAAATTATGATTCGGAAGCTCTTGCCGTGTGAACCCTTCATTATTTTTAGAACAATAGAGAAGAAAAGGCTTTATTACGATGGAAATGTACACGAGAGCCGCGTTTCTGGTAAATAGATTTGGGCATGTGAAAGTCGTATTAGTTCCTTTGTTGTGTTACCAAAAATTGCTATATAAAAAATGTTTTTCTTTTGTTTATTTTTTCATTTAGGAAAGCTCGGAGATGAAATTAGAGAACTAATTACAAAAATTCTGTCCAGGGCACATTCTAGGTATGTATTTCAACATTTTGTCAGCTTCCGAAATTGGAGCCGTCCTCCAAAAGTAATCCATCCACATCATTCGATTGACGACCGACAATGGGCACAAACGGAAATATTTTTTAATTTAGAAAGACTCTCAGCAATGCAGGAATTGGGAAGCGCGTCCGCGTGCATATCAGGGCACGTATATTGGAAATAACAAGATAGTAAAATATAATTGGTACCCTGTACAAAAGTTCTTCAATAGTTTCAAGCTGTGAATTGGGTTTATGACTATTGCTTTTTTATGTATCCAAATACACAGCAGCTCTAGTTTTTGTAGATGCATTTATCCTAATTACTTTGGCACTCGTCGGTACGGATTACTTTAAAAAAATTCCATCTCCTGCTCTTTGGTCTTTTTACAGCATCCTGTATTTTCCCTCAAAATTATCATGACCTATACATCGAGTAATTTGTACTGAAAAGTAAATGACAGTGTTATATTTTTCGTTGAACTTTTCTGAGAAACCGATTCTTACCGATAGGGCCTGCTGGCCAGTCGGTATTTCACGTAGGTCTCAGGCAATGACATATTACTACAGATTGACATTAAAGTAAACAAAACTTTATGTCGCCCACATCTAGAAAAGCGATCCACCTTCGGTGTATCCCGTCCGATTAGGTTGCCAAATTGTTACGGATTGATATTTCATCCTGTTATCCTGTTGCTTCAAAAAATGATGTTTTGTGAAACGGGCGGAAAACGAGCTGCAATCGATTAGCATGTCAACGCGCCAATCGAACTTATATCATATGAGCTAGAGGCAGATAGATAGATAAACGAGATGCACCCGCGCGTATTTTTTCATTATTTTGGTCAAGTGGTTCAAAGGGGAAGGCGGGTCTTGTTTACACCTCTGATGCATCCCCACCATGACCCCCCTCGAGCAGCTCACCTTTCCTGGTCCATGGGGGGTGTCGTCATCATAACAAACAATAGTTTATAAATGAACCGCATTTCATTCTCTGTGTTAGGATGTAATTGGTATCAAGAATATAATTTTAAGTAATGCATCATAATATTTAATAATAATTATTATTAGAGAAGACAAATTAACAATGTTTGATTCATGTGAAATTTTATACTTCTCAGTCTGATTCCCATAACTTTTGAACACATTTGGCTCGAGGATGCTGCTGATAAAGTCGCTGGACACATTTTAAAAAAATTGTCTTTTTTGGTAAAGGTCGAAGGTAAAATGGTTGGATATTTTCCTAAATGTAGAAAACACTCGGCCTGGCCTTTTTCAGAATTTTCAAATTCACACACTTTCTATAAATATCACACAGATACTGGATAATTTGTATCCATTTTGAACGATTTGCAGATACTACCGACGACTTAATGATGTTATAGTAGAAGAAAAATATCCCGTATCAAGAATCGAAGAAATTTTGGAGAATCTCGGGAAATGCACATATTTCACTACCCTTCATCTTGCCCAAGGATTTCACCAGATTGATTAAAATTCCATCGAGAAAACTGCCTTCACAGTAGACAATAGTCATTTCTAGAGCTTGTGTATGCCTTTTGGGCTTAATAACGCACCTGCACATTCCAAAGAATGATGCACGAGATTCTTAGCAATTATTTTTTATAAATTTTGCTTTACTTATATGGATGATGTTGTTATCTTCTCAAATCCAGAGTACATAGACTAACCCAAACTCTACCAGACTGTTACCCACACCCATTCACAACAACTGATCGTGTTTGGCATATTATAAAGAGCTTTTTATTCCGATAATAAGAACCGTCAAACATTCAAAATAAAAATAATTATAACTGGACTTACCTTTACTTGCACCAGTTGCTTTGTCCCTCAGAACATTGATTGCATGTACCCGTCCGTATTTCTCGAACATCCTTCTCAAGTCGTTTTCGTCCATAGATCTTGGCACTTGCCCTACGAACATTTTTATCGTATCCGCGTCAGGCTCTTCTTGTTCATCGATATCGATTTTTTCGATCCTTTCGCTTTCGAGGATGTTGTTATTGGTATTGTTATTGTTGTTGATGTTGTTGTTCGTCTGGGTGGTATTGTTGTTGTTCATTGCTAGCGAACTGAAATCAATTTTTTTTTTTTATATAAAATTAATTTTAATAAATCTAGTTATTTGATGTCCTCCAAAGTTTTTTTAAAAATGTTTCGCTAGAAAAAATAATAATACGCGACTACTAATATAAAAATACTTTGAATAGGTACTAATTAATAGCTACGAACATAAATGTACATTCAAATCTTTTGAAAATGATTTTTGGCTGCCCGTTAATTAATAAAACCGGAATATTAAAAAAATCTCAGGACCTTGTCAACTAATTAAACTTGTTTGCTGCTTTCTTTTACAGCAAAATTCTGATGACAAAACTTTTATGAAAAGCATCCCCGGACAATCATAAAGAGCTTTTCAGTGGACGCTGATGTTAGAAGAAAAACTTTTTATTGTTTATTATACCATTGTGCGCTTCTACAACAATTTCTGTGTGTTTTGTGAGTACTTATGGGAGAGAATTAAATAGGGGGTAAATACCAATAATTATTCTTAGAGAACAGTCTGTTTCTTTAAATCACTTCTCATTTTGAATTGCAGAAATAAAACAGGTTACTTTATTAAATGCGTGAAATTAAATTTTGAAAAACTCACTGTTAATGTCAAAGGCAAAATATAAATTTTTAATAAACCCCTATGTCGGATAGCTGATACGCGGTCGCTTTTATCTCACAAATTATCATGACAACAATGTATGAAGCTAAATATTCTACCACAGCAAAAATGCAAATTTATTATAACGGTGCGCTAAAATTTAAAAAAATATTTTAACAGTTTCCATGATTTTCATAAACTATAAATATCTATAATTTCTCGTCATTAAATAGCTTCAGAATATTCACGCAATCAAGATATGTAGGTTCAAACACGGTAAAATATCCCGTGTAATGGAATTATTCAATAAAATTAAATATTCTACAAGTAGAAATTACCAGAATTTCTTAAAATATTTGAAAAATAAACAAGTAAATGTGAATTGGGTTAGAAATGCTTCACCGGAAACTATGTGATCGGAAAGATATGGGACACATCATTATTGCCACATATATAATACATATTTAAACGTACTGGAATGGCGCCAGTGTATGACGTAGAAGTCTACTGACCAATAAAAATCGTTCACAATGACTCTGACGCACATCTTTGATACTTTCCTTGTTTAAGCTCTGGAGAGTGACAGTGACGACTTTCGTTATTTGCACCTTGTTCGTTCCACACGATATCTACCTAGCTACTTTTATGTTGATTTTAGGAGTGTGTTAGATTATTTTTATTATCCCTTCTACAAATAATAAAAACATGGCTTTGTGATACTTCAAGTTTGTTGCCCATGGTTCCAGCAGCAAACACAAAACCAAAAAACAAAGAACGCTATCGATATCGAGAGTTTCTATGAGAAGCGAAACTTATTGAGTATAAAACATATATTTTTAAAAAATCCAACCAAAAATTAAGATTTTGTATGCCACAGTTTGGGGTCGAATATATCCCCATCAATTACTAAGCAAGTATTTATTTTCACTTTCTCATTCACTTTCCAATCGTTCTGATAATATTAATGGTTTTTCTTTCGAATCCGTCCCGAATATCAACAACAAAGCCGAGCCAATCTCGTTTCACACAAGGTATAAAGAACTATATAATTGGGTCTAGCGAAGCTCTAGTCAAAAGAAGAGAAGCTTCTTCGAAACGCAAAATGTCACACGTAGAAAGACGGGAGAATAGATGTAACAATTGGAATCGATAATTGACGAAAACAAAGCAAACTCAATTATTGTCAGAAAAAAAAAAAACTAAAGAGAGAGAAAAGGTAATAAGATTGCAAGAAAATAAATAAAATACGCAAGTCGAGTATTGACTCACCACAGACTTAATTGTTAATTTCCAATACACGAAAATTCGATATGATAATATCGTTAACTCTTGCGTATGTTAAGAGTGACAGCTTAATACATATAATAAAACCGCACTGCAACAATTAGTCCATTCTATAACAAAGATAGGTGAATGGTAGTACCGCATATACTTCAGAATACATTCAGAATTTGTTGACTCTAGCTTGGAATAAAATTACGAAGCAAGATGTGTATAACAAATATCATAAAGAAGGCAATATCTTTTGAAAAGAGATTGGGGACCACATTTGATATTTAGCGGAAGGAATTGTTCAAAAACAAAAAAAGACAACAAACTCAATATGTCAATATGTCTTCACAACCCAGAGTTCAACACTGCTGTATACGATAGTCACTTCTCCGCAGTATCATGAGAGAGAACTGAATGACTGTTCTATTCTGTAAAAGTATACAAAAACTTTTCATTGATAAATAAATTATCATAAGCAATTTTCTTAGAACAACATAAATTATCTGGCATCAAAACTCAATTATTATCACAAAATAATATCGCTGCCTAAAAGCAAGGATGCTTTATAAAATAAAGGACCGCCTTTGTTGCCGTTTGATAGAAAAATACAACTGTGCCTTTTCCTTTTGTATCCTTTAGCTATTATTGCGACAACGACAAAAGAGACTCCTGGCGACACAAATTTAGTTTTCGCTCGCGTCGAAAAAAAAGATAGGAAAATTAAATTGTAGTCTCCTTTATTGCCGGAAAAACTTTGCTTAATGGTGCATGGCGAATTTATAATAAGCAAAAACCATAAATAAAAATAGTTGCGCTTCAACTGTACGTAGGTATTTAATTATAAGGGTTTGGAAGCCAAAAATAATTTTTCTACAAGTTTCTTCCAGAAAATATTTAAGAAATAAAAACTGAGGTACGATGAATCTTCAGATAAACCTTCTGGCAACTAAAGGTACCCATTCACTTACAGTTTGCCCGCAGTTCTAGGACTGTACGATCTGAACTGAAGATTTGAACTTTCTCAGGCCACACACCATTCAGTTTTCTGAAACGATGCGACCACAGTTTTAAGACTGTCAGTTTTTGAACTGAAGGAAAACTGAGCTTTCGCCACACATACAAACATTTTGTCAGTGCTAATCGAACAGTCTCGCTGTAGTGAAAAATGTTTCGTACTAATAGAAAGAATCAACTAGCCGCACTTCTTGTGCTATTATTATTGCAAGCGCCGATAACAAAGGCAAAAAAACATTTTTGGGTAAAAGATTGGCTGTTACAACGTGATACTTTATCTCATATGAGACTGGTGCGAAAATTAAGAACAAGTGCAACAGACGACCTTAAAAATTACCTTAGAATGGATGACACATGTTTTAAAGAACTCTTAAGCTTGGTTAAGCCGTTAATATCAAAGAAAAATACTAAAATGAGAAATGCTTTGTTCTTTTCGTGCCTATTTGAGTAGGACTTGCTCTTTACTTTCCAAAGACAAAACAATTGCCTATAAATATCAATAAATTCGGATAAAAACTCTGTATTATTGCTTGACTCGGCCATTTCACAAAATCGGAATCATGAAAACTTCCAATTAGTTTGAAGATGGGATCGTACGATATCACCTGACGATTTTTCTCCATACACTCTAGTCCGTCGTTAGATTCAAGTGAACTGCAGGCTCAGACCTGTCGACGGCCTGACCGTGTATGGAGAAATTTTAACTGACGATATGCAAATCGGCAGTTCTGGACTGCAGGCTAACTGTAAGTGAATGGGTACCTTAACCTTATCGGTCGGCGGATATCAGGCCGATCAATGGGATTATAGATTGCGTTTCTATCCGTCAGATTGCATACCTGACAGTTTATCAGACGGTGAATAAACCGGCCCCAAGAATGGAAGTAAGTGGTCAAAAATATCCTAATAACAAAATCAAACGAAATAGAGCAACTAACTGAATCCAACAGCACTAGGGATTCTTCCAGGCTACTAAGATGGTATATGATCCAAAAGATGGCACAAGACTGCTTAAAGATAGTTCTATCAATTCTCGTTGGAAGGACACTTTAAGGAATTACGTACCAGAGAATCTCAAATTAATAACGACATCTTTAAAGAAATTCCACAGAAACCAATACAAGAAGAACTGAGCGAGATTCCCAGATTAGAGGAGGTTGAAGAGGTAATCAGTGACTAGCTGGTACTGACGGCATTCCTGCCGAATTCTTAAACCAATGAGGCCTCACACTAAGTGCCCAAACCCACATCCTAATAATAAGTAAAATAGGGATTACTGAGACCATACCTGCCGAACTTAGAGCTGCCATTTTTAAAACTGGAGACAAGGCTCAATGTGGAAACTGCAAAGGAATATCTCTTCTTCCGGTTGCGGGAAAGATACTTGCCAGGATATTATCAATAATCTTCCAATCCCAACTGCCGAACAGAGCCGTCCAGAGACACAGTGTGGCTTCAGAGCGAACCGAGGTACAGCTGACACGATTTTCAGTGCAAGAGAAATCCAGTTCTCTATACATGTCCTTTGTAGATTTAGTCGAAGCATTTGATTCAGTCAACAGAGAATCTCTTTGTGGTAATGTGAGTGTAAAAAGATCTGTCTTCACGTTTTTGCATCTATGTGGTTTCATATAATTGTTACTCTTTGTTATCCAATAGTCCAATGTTAAATGACAGAAGATTCAGCTGTGGTGTCGGTTGACAGTCAGTCAGATATGTGTAATCGATAATTAATTAGAACATGCCATTTTGAGTTGTTATGTAAATTAATACTTTTTCTTTGGATTCAATAAAAGTATTCAATCACGGTAGTGGTAACAATGGTTATGGGCCCAGAGTACGCCAAACTCGAGGATATACAGTGAAGAATTTGTGAAAAAATCAATCAGTTTTTGGGTTTTGGCAAGTTGTTGAAACCCTCGTTGTAAGCTGAAGTTGTGATTTTGTGATGAAAACGGGCTAGTAAAGGCAAAAGGGAATAAGTATTAGGATCTGTAGTGAAGAATAACGTAGAAAAAATTGAAAATATGGAAGAAAATAATGGAAACAGGCATATGATATTGTACCACTTAAGGGAAATGGGTTTGATAAATGGAAGTTCAGGCTATATTCAGTGCTGAATACTCTGGATTT